TCGATATAAATCGATATTTTTGACCATATCGATCGATATTTTTGCAAAATCAAATCGATATTTTTCACTGTCCCTGGGCATGCCCATTTTTAATCACGTGACAATAGACCAATCATAAGTCTCAGATCATGTGAAGTAATAATATGTACATTTTCTTATAGCAAACATTTGGGATCAAGCAGAATTTTTAAATAAATTACAGTGTTATTATTCCAGGTCTCTAGATTTAAATGTGAATTCTTTTTATGACATTTCTCACGCGCATTTAAAGATAATTTTAAATGTAACGGCCTCATGAACTAGAAATGGTGCACTTAATCGCATGCACAATCACTATTAGTGAATTAGTCTCTACGCATGTTCGACATAGATTTAAACTACATAACGAATCCACTATAACGATAAAAAAATCTCAGTTCGGAATATAGAGAGGTAACTGCGATCTTAATAATCAATTTAGATTTTAGATTTTGTATTCATTTATACAAAATATTTATTTATAATGTTCATTAAACAAGCTTGATTATAGCAAAGTGCAATATTCAATTAATTTGGCATTACTGTAAATCAAACCAAAATTTGAAAATTAAATGTTAATCAATCTTGTGAAATAAGAACTTTAACAAATATATACGTGTTTAAAATTAAAAATTTAGTAAAATGAAATGAGATAATCATTATTAGATCTTAAAATTAAAAATAAAAAATACAAAATTATAATAATACAAGGAGAATATATAGTAAATAAATCATAAAAGGACATATATCTACAAAGTAAAAAATTAATTATTATCATATAAAAATATCAGTCGTTTATAATAAGTTTAACAACACTTTCTAAAATATTAATACCCATTCCTCTTAATACTTCTTTCTCTGCCAAAAATCCATCAACCAACCTTCCAATCATAATTTTAGAATTTTCATGACCCATTACCTGTTTTAACGAATCAGGTATAACTTTTTGTAAAAGTAATCGCTTAACCTCCTCTTTGGTTTGTAACTTTTCTTCTTCACTTCGTTGCTGAGTTATATCCGCTAAGATGCCATCTGGCCAAAGCGAATTGTTTAAATTATCAATAATTGACACTGCATATTCTTCAGTGAAAAGTGAATTGATCGTCAATAAATATGACTGTTTGATTGCTTCTGTATATGATTTCCGCACAACTCCTCGTAAAACAGAAAGAACTGTTTTTCTAATGTGCCATTGAGATTTATCTGATAAATCAAATATTTCTTCAATAATAGCAAACATAGTATCAATAAGCAGATCTGCATTATGACCGGTAATTTGCTTATTCGGCCGAGTTCTTTTTTTAGGAGTTGGTGGTGGTCCAATTAAGGGAATTTTGGATGATTTTAAAGAGTTTGATGCGCTAACATTACAATGGGTATTAAGCCCTTCCAAAATAGGCTCTTTATTGGGTTTTATATTATTACTTATAATATTAGAAGTGTCATTTTCATTGGATGATGTTGTTACAACGGCCTTGCTGGAATCCAAAGATGTTGAAAGGGTGCTTTCAACACTAGGACTCACGACATTAGAAAACATTTGAGTAGACGTATCCTTGATAGAGGCTTCCTCAGATATTTCTTGGATTACTTCTGTAAGTATATTTTGAGAAATATTTAAATGTTCATGAAGAGAACCGTTCCTTTTCGGTGATAAAGACTCCTCTGAACCAACTTGTTTTGGAGTATTTATTTTATCATTAATAGCATCTTGCGTACCAGAAGTTACAATATTGACCATTGATATAGATTTTGGAACAGATACTGTTGAATTTACAATTCCATTTTTGCCAACAGACTTCGTCAATCCTTCATTTTGAATACCATCTCTCCTCATAAATTTTTGAAGTGGTTCACTCTCACATAATGTTAAGTCACTCAACAAAATGTTCAAATATCGTTCTAAAGACTTACAGGCCGCTTGGCTTTTTTTTAACATTAAGCGTGGCATAACGACTTTTTCGGCTTTAGGAAAATCTTTTGTTAAAGCGGAATGCATTTTCTCAAAGTCACTAAAATTTCGCGTTATTATCCATCCAGTGGAACCAGGTCGTTCTACCTCTATCATATAAGAAAGCGACTTTGTTGAGTAAATATACTTATTTGGTGATGATTCAGACACATCCGTCAACCTAATTCTTACTCCGTTAAGATCAATCTTAGGTATTATTGGGGGTAATTCAGAATCACTATCAGTCATTTCATCTGTAGATGCATAAGAATTTCTCTTCCTAAGTGAAGATGTAAAATTATTCAATGCATCAACCAAGCTTCCAGCTGAATATGATCTGGAACGATATGTTGTGCTTGTCAACAAACCGTTCGATTGTTTATCATAGCCTGACGAATAATCCAAGTATTCCGAGTTGTTTGAAATAGGGGATAAGTTACCCGTTGTATTATGTCGTTTAAAAAATTTTCCCTCTATTGATATTTCCGAAGCAAATCTAGAATTATTGTTCGATTGTGCTATCTGTTTAGATTCCTCTACAAACATAAAATTTATATCTTCACCTTGGGTTTTCATAACCATAAGAAAGTCATCAAAATATTCACTTTCCAACACACCAAAGACATATTCTTGCAAAGTTACAAAGCAATTACATGTAGGTGCATTATATATCTCTCGTGTACATTGGTTGATTATCATTTCGTTCGATATTTTTACAGGATACGTGGCAGAATCTCCAAAATAAGTATTAAAAATTTTCAATGCATCTTCTTGTACCAAATTTATATTTGGCTCATCGGATGCAATTTTTCTGAAAGAATCAACTTGGAGCCAAAATCGAAGTAAATTTGCGGCTTTGCGTTCTTCCAAAAATGCCATAAATTCAACAAAAACTTCATTCTGAAGTTCAAGGATAATTCGTAACTTATCTGAATTCACAGAACGCATGAACGGTCGAGATGGAGAGTAATTTGGGGAGTCGGTGAAATCTTCAATTGTAACATTCGGAAGGGTTTCTGTAGGTATTTCAATTGAGCTTTTTGGCTCTTTAAGAGTTTCAGGATTAGAATCAAGTAAATTTGTTTGTGATGATTGAGGTGATGATAGTAGTGATTGATCGTTCAACATTGGTTCTTTGTCATCAGCGGAAGATTGAATTGTAGCACATGAAGGAATCTCTGTAAGTGACTCAACTAATGAATTGTTTTGCTCCTTGAAATTTTCAATGCTAGCATCAAGTGACGGATTTGACTGATATGATATAGGTGATGATGATGTTATCGATTGAACATTCAATACTTGTGATTGGCTATCAGAAGAAGACTGAATTGTAGTGCTTGAAGGAATCTCTGAGGGAGACTCAACTAATGAATTTTTTTGCTCTTTGAAAGTTTCAATGCTAGCATCAAGTGACGAATTTGATTGATATGATATAGGTGACGATGTTATCGATTGAACATTCAATACCGATACTTTGTTATCAGAGGAAGACTTAATTGTAGCGTCTGAAGGAATCTCCTTGAGAGACTCGACTAATGAATTTTTTTGCTCCTTGAAAGCTTCAATGCTAGCATCAAGTGACGAATTTGACTGATGTGATATAGGTGATGATTGAACGTTCAACACTGGTACTTTGATATCAGAGGAAGGTTGGTTTAATTGGTTGGATAGACCAGCCACTTCCTCATCAATTGAAGTTGCTAGTTGTTGAAGTAAGGTAGTATCATGAGTTTCATCATCTTTATCTGTCAAATACTCAACAATAGTCCGATTTAACCAATCTGGGTCACACACCATTTCAAGCGCAGTTTCCAAAACTTGCGTTGTCCATAGTTCAGTAAGAAATGCCATCAGAATATGACTTTTAATTTCATCTGAAGGTAAAAGACGTATCAATATTAATTTTGACAAGCAACGAAGAGTCTGTACTTGAGATTTTTTGTTTATAGTATGTACAAATGGTGAAGATTGATTTTGCATGCAATAAACTTCTAAAGATTTATTAGTTGCAATAAACTTTCTATATTCGCGCTATTAATAAAAAAAATAAAATAAATAAAACTTTTTTAGCAAAATATAATAAAGTCCAGGTCAATTATTGGCTTACAAAATAATATACATACCAGATGGATAATGAATGTGTTTGCAATTGCAAAGCTTGACATAATCCCTATTTCTACTTTATCTATGTTCTCAAGGCACAAAGCCAAGTTCATTGACATTATATTCATAGCATTTCGTACTTGGCTGGAAAATTCGGGATTTCTATTTGGATTTATCGGATCATAAAAAGAATTAACTAAATCTCGAAGAATAAAATCAAATGTCTTATTTAGTGCCTCGTCTACTCGAGGCGTTATCGAAAGTTCTGTTGAAGTTACTTTTTCGGCACTCTTGATAGCCTTAGTCATTGGAGTAATGTTAGCATATAATGAAAACTAGCAAATGATTAGATAGCATAGATTGTAAATAAGTACCTGCAAGGAACTCTCGATATTTTGCTGTATATACGGTTCTTGGTACAAGAAATTTTTTTGTCGGCTAGTTGTAGTCGAATTATTCTGAAGCATGTAACCAAGTAAGCATCCAAGTACTAATAATATTAAGTGTGATCTTTGTAAATGATTCCAAGTAAAGATTGTAAGTAGATACAGGATTAAATGAATCGGCGGTATTTTTGAAAAAATTGTTCTAAAAGCTTTAAAGGCGGGTTCCATTTTTTCCGAAAAAGTTCTCAATGTGAAATTTTCAGAAATTATTTTTATGAAATTTTCTAAAACTAATGAAGGGTTTGCATTTAAAGTCTCTTGCAAAATTTTAGGTGATTCGGTTTCGAGTTCCAAATCATGCGGACTTTCTTCTGGAGTAATTGAGGGAATAACATCGGAGAACGCCAGTAAAGTAGATTGTTCGTCGTTATTTTCGTTATTTGGCGTTCTCTCAGTTGTCATGTTGGTTTTTGGAAGAGGCTAAACTTTTATAGTCTAGAACGTCGACATCAAAAAAATGATTGTTATCTATGACGAGAAAGCCGTCTACTATTATAACTCTAAAATTCAAACGATTGTAGCTGAGAGTATATAGTAAATAGATTTCTTTTCGTCTTACAAAGTTAATACATACCCGATACGCAAGTACGTATCAAATTTGAAATACAGCATTTATTTTTTCATTAAGAACCAATATCGACCAATCAAATAGCAATATTTTCATGTAACAAATTCAATTTGTGGCGGGCAATTTTTACTATGAAATTTGGTATAGTAATCGACACATATGAGAGACATGGCGTAGAAACTATTGCGGACTTGCCGAAAATATTTTTTCGGCAACTTTAATATTACAACTGTTTTGAGTAAAACTGTAAGTGAATGAATATTTAAGCTATCACTATGGCAAACGTGTGTTTTTCAAAATTCTATGTGGGCTCATGTGATTTATTAAATAATATTCCGATAACCGAATCGAATGGATAAGTTACGGGATTTGAATCTATAAATCGGTCGAAATATTTAACAATTCGTTCTTGGATATAATAAATTACTCGGATAACCAGATAACTTAATCATAAGCGGGTAGAAATTTTCTTGACGGGCACAGTCACTATCCGAAATACCTTCGAAAGTGTCACCGTTTCTACGCCGTGCGTTTTATAGTAAATACAACGGTAAGCCCTCTTTTCTAAAAGAAACCTTCTAACTATATATGTATTTTATATTTTTGGATATATTTTTAGATTTAAAAGTGAAATACGAAAAGAATTGTCTTTCAAGATGGCTTCTTATTCGGTTAGTATATGCTTTATATTTTGCTTTAAAAGCTTTTTTAGAGTACAGTAATAAACTTAATAAGCCTATTTAACTAGAAATTATTATAAATTAAATGTTTAATATATAAAATTTTTTTAAAAAATATTAATCAGATATATAGTTGCTATCTACTTAAAAATTAAAAAAATTAATTTATACGTAGAAAGACATACGTACGCATATTACTGTATTATACTATATATATATCATGCAATTAGACGGGGCTTATTTAGCCGACATCACGCCAGGTGAAATTTAGTAAAAATATATAATCAAATGTTTAACCCTAACCCTATGTGATGTCGGCTAAATGAACGTTCATATATAATATTAGAGTATAACAAGTTTAATTATAGCATCTATGGAGCTTTTGTTATAGAAAGGGCCAATACTCCTCAAAAAATGAAAATTGAGATTTTGCTATATTCGACACGGGCTACATTTTTCAATTATAATAAAAAATCGAGATATTTAAAAGAAATTTCTTTAGAGGACTCGTACATTAGGGATGTTATGTGGTCTGGTCTGGTCTAAACTGACAGATCACAGTTAGTCTTAAGACCGGTCAGAAGCTAAAAAAAAATTAGTCTGCTCTTTAAGATCAGTTAATATAACAGCCAATCAGATTTTAGATAGTCACCAGTTTCACCAGCGTCTATAGTCTGGACAATTCTGAATCAGTCAATTCTTAAAAAAACTGGATCAATGGCCGGATACAAGACCCGGGTCTATTACATCTCACCAATTCTAGACCCCTTAATAGACCCGGGTATAGTACACGGCTGAGAGTTTATATCATAGTGTAAAAATTTAAAATGCATACACACTTTGCGTTTATAACAGGCATTCTAGATTTTTTAAAAAAACTAAATTATTAATTAAATAAGATCCTGCGATTGCACCCGGGTATAGTACACAGTGGGTATATTATTGAAGGGGGTCTTGTATTCCAGATGCAGTAATCTCAGTTTTAGCCCAAATTTCAACATCAACTGTCAGATACATCTAATCTGACGCTGATTTTCAGATGACGGCTCAGAAACAGTTTAGTGTGTACAGGCACCGTTAAAAATCTGCCGACGATTATCATACCAGAAAAAGTAAAACC